GCGAACACAAAACCGCTTGTAAAGGTCTTTGGGTCCAAAAATCTGAGCTCGCTGAACACATGGCCAATACAAGACACTCAATAGATTGGTCTAAAACTCAACGTTTTTCGGATTACGTTACTCTTTATTTTTATATAGTATTGCTTCCCAAAAGTTATTCTCATCCAAGATGGACCGCAGTTCCAGTCCCATCTAGGTCTCCTCAGCACCCTAAGCGGGACTCGAGTCGCGCAAGTGCTACCTATAATATCGAAGCGTTTACTACTTCGCAACACTTCCACGAGTGCCCTTGGGTCGCAGGTCAGATATGAATTTCAGGGGTCAGTATTTTTCCATATCGCATTCTATATTGCGATTGCTAATGAGTCAAAGTTGTATTTGCTTTATCAATCGTCTACCTATTTTTCTTTTATAAGTAGTTTTTTAAGATTACCAGTTAATTTTATTTATTGGATGTATTCATCCTATTTCGTTGAGATGATGAAGGATTGAGTCAAATTTTCCCACAATAATATGAGTAGAACTTGCGTTTCCAATGAATTTCACATAGCCTTGCTTCCCAAAAGTTATTCTTATCAAGGACGGACTGCCGTTTTAACCTCGCCTATGACTTAGCCACTCATCTCTTTATTATTTATTATAATCAATAATGTTTATTATTTATTCTATTTTATGCCGTTAAATAAAATCACTGTCATTTGTGATGTAAAGTCCTTTTTTATCCTTTTATTTCATCTGCATCTGCTACTCCCTATCTCAACTTGTCCTTGAATAGCTCCCACCCACGCTTTATTTCATTCTTCTTCTCAGCCAAGGGAAAGTGACGCTAGTGATTCTGTTGATATTCCATCTTCCTTCGTAAGTCACACGTCAGCCTTAGCTTGTGATGTCAATAATATCCCAGACTGTTCTCTGGACTCTGAAGCACCAATCAGTATCACTACAGCCACAAATAAACCCTGCATTGAGACAATTGAACCTACCATCTCACATTCCCCTCCTCATCATCAAGTACATTCGATGAGAGTTAGCCAATCGACGACTTCAAACCCTGAGCCCTGCATGATGGATGAAGTGTCTTTAGAAGATTTGGCTAGAAGCGCGTCTCTCGATCCTCCCAATAACAGTGTTTTTATTGAATCGGCTTGTTCAAAGTGCGGTATAGACGCCCGATTGATCAGAGATCACATTGTCTTCCTCCAGACTCAACTGCGTGCCCAATATGAACGGAGTGCAGCAGAAGCTAAACTTAGACATATGCATACACAAACCCTGCGGCTTCTTATTAGAGAGGTACATTGCTGGTATATTTGCGAGGGTTGTTTCTGATGATGAAAGTATGATTTTATATTTCGATCAGTTATTCTTTATGCCGTCATCACATTCTGACTGATTTACTTTAATTTAACTTTCCTTTATCACACTCATTTTTCACCAGTTTAACCTGTAAATTTTCACAAAATGTTTGCCAGCTTTATATTCAGGGGATTCAATTATGTGGATTTTGGGCAATCTTTCAGCTCAATAAGTGTTTTGCTTATTTTTGAGTCCGAATTATCTAACTTGGCATCATGGCATAAGATATAGTTTTTAACCCAAAAAAGTATATGCCTCTATTTATATGCAAGTTAAATCTGCTTGAGCGCATAAATAAATTGTTGTGTTTACTTCAGACCTAGCTTCATGTTGAGAACCTCTTTTCTTTTTAATTTGGACAAGCGATTTCATCCTAAATCAGCTCGTAATTCCCTGGAAAGTCCCGCAGTATATACTTAGTTACCTGTATCCGAGGCACACAGCTACGCACTTTATTATTTACGTTTATCCTTAGCAGCCTTTTTTTGCAAACGATGCTGAATTAATTTCATGAGCATAGAAGACAGAATGGCGGAAAATTTCTGTCTATAAATGTATGACTTTGGTTATAACAGACAAATAAATGGAAACTATGCTATGCATCTTGACTTTTTCGCATATACAAGCCAAATCTATGTCCACATAAATTACATGCTATTGGCTTTACTATAAATATTATACATGACATCGACATCTAAATTATTAGCATGAATTTAGCAGACCCAATCAGATATTCTTCTCGCTTTTCAATGGTTTACTGACGTAATGAACCTAAAATTTCATTTTCCTCTTTTGTCAGGTCCAGGAGCTGAAGGCTTGGAGAGCATCCATACGTGAACCTTCATCCTCCGTCTCAAGCTCAAATTCTGTATTGCGAAGACTTTCTCCAGCTCATCCTGTACACTCTTTATTTACTGACCCAGGGGCTTCAGAATTGATTAAAGTTGAAGCAGAGGCTACACCTGATCCACAGGTTGAGTGTAAAGCAGATGAACTCTCTCTGCGATTGGTTTCACCCGTCCACATCAAGCCTCTCGTTACTCATAGTGAAATCCGATATGGCATTTCTGAATCCCAGACTCCTCTAAATTCTAATTCTTGTCAAAATATTCCATCCCAAAACCTTCTGCATCAAATATGTCAGCAATCAGAAAATATCAGAGAGGTATGCATACTTCTGGAAGGTATATAAATGTGAGGTTTTAATGAACGTAAGCATTATTCTTATAAGCTAAAAGATTGGAACTTAAAAGCGGATGCATGTAAGCCTTTATTTACGCAATGATATGCCCTGCAAAAGATATCTGGTCCAATCAATCTGGATTACCAAGGTGTACAGCATTTTAATTTATATGTTAATTTCTGCCAACTTTTTAAAGCCCTTATAGTTATTAATGTAAATAGCAGTGGATCTACTTCATTAATTCACCCTTTTCAGCCTAAGACTTAATTGGTTTGTACATCTGGATGCGAAATTTGATCCTAAGCCCATCATTTGCCCACGTCTACATTAACATGTCATTTTATGAAAAGAGGCAGGGTTTCGAAGAATCCTTTAATATATTAATACTGACGTACCTTTGATTTCGCTTGATAAGGCGGGTCGAAGGGTTTCATAGATTTTCCTCATCTAATCCCGAAGGAGGGTTGCCTTTGACTTTTGTCTGTTGAACTGTGCGAAGAAAAGATCGGCTCATCGTCCTACGACACCGATGACTCTGTGTTGAGCCTTCGTCAATCATATCACGGACATCGTTAGAGCCTTTAAGCATTATTCACAAAAAATCACCAAAAAACACTACATCGAGAAAGGTGGCCAGCTGAGATGCTACTTACTTCTTATACCTCACTTTGCGATCTTCATGAGGCACTTCATGATTTGGTTGGCTGTTTTATGCTTGTCCTACATGCATGTAAGCGGGTCACTGATGCAGGGATGGAAGCGGATCTGGTCACAACATTTGTGTATGTAAATAAATTAGAATATGATCCAGTTCTCCTGGGTCTTGTTACAGCTTCGTGGATGCGTGTGTATGCAACAGCCTCGAGTTTGTTGACAATTTTAGGTTCAAAAACAGACTCCAGCTTAGTCTAGTCTTCTATTGCTCAGTGGCTCTTCATGTTCTCTCTTCTCTTTTCTTCGCTCTCTATCTATCGCTCATTCTCTTTTGAAGTCAGAGATAGTTTTCACCTAGTTTCCTACATTCTTCATCCTATCTAGGATGTTCTTTGTTTTATTAATTTTAATTGGCTCTCTGATCTTCCATTTAGCTGTGAAGTCCCCATATCCGGTAAAGCGTTGGTATTTAGACCACTCTTTCTGGTGTCCTGTAGCGACCAATTGATCAGTTACTTCCGATTTCTGAAACCATAAACCCTTGCAGGCGGTTCTATGTTATTATAGCCTCTTATTTATAGGTTCATATGTCTCCCACACATAAACATTACCACATGAGCACAAAACCTTATAACAACCTGATCTGATAGGGCGTCTGAAGGTTCTCTAAAAGAAGGCATGATCCAGGAAAGCGTTAGTGTTTCTTTATGCCTTTTCTTGACAGTCAATTTCCTGAATAATTCGCCTACCTTTCTTTAAAACTTGCAGGATGGTAGTATTAGGAGCATAAACAAAGAGTTGTCTTATTCCTTTTTTTCCAAAATAATGATTTTCCTTCACTCTATTTCTCAAATTTTTGAAATTGTTAACAATTAACCCTACAGGATAATTGTTATAACTTAGATTTTTCTTAGTCCTTCTAACTTCTCTTCTTGATGATTTACGCTTGCTAGACATAAACTTCTTCTTATCGTTGATTTCATTACACCTACCTTAATATCATAAGTATGGTTCAAGAAGAATAAAGCCAGCATTTGTGGGTTTTCTATATACATATCTTCCAATTTTGTTACATTGTTTACTAATTAGGACATCTAAAAAGGGTAATTTATTGTCGTTTTTCTAACTCCGTAATGAATTTATTCGCATTATCTACTATATTCATTAAACCAAGTAAGTCATCCAAACACTCTTTGCCATGCTGCCAGATAGCAAAGTAATCATCCGTATATCTAACTAATAGTTTCGGAACTGTCATCAAAATGTACTTAAGCCTGCTTGCAAAAAAGGTTATTGAAGAAACCAAACGGGAATAACGTTCTGCAAACTGTGTGATTAGGTCAGCGAAATATCTGATAAGCTTCTATTTTCTCTAGAAATATCCTCCATAGATATGCATATAACATTGTCATATGGGAAAAAATAATTAAAGACATTACTGGTATTATATGCGTATATATATATGTATATATAGTATTTTATGTATATTACTGGTACTATTACTACTGTATACTACTGGCAACTGAGCTACTCGAAAGAGTTATTTTTGAATTAAATAGAAAACATAAGCCTGCTTAAATAAAAAATTAGTAACGATAAAAATGTAAAAAGATGATTTCGTTGTCCTTGATAACCTGTAGATCGCTGGCAGCTTTTGCCTGCCTTCGAATATATTGCGTATACCAATGGGACTATGGCAAGGTTGAAATTGTGGTGACTTGAATTTTGGAATGTAAGTTCAGACGGAATTTAATGGTAAAATGACACTGATACTGGTGTCCCTTTTATTTCGTCAAAGGGATTCGTCAATTGGCCGCACTGGGTACCGCAGGAGGGTGGCCTTGGACAAGGTCGAACCAACAGCATTATAGAGCTAAGGGAGACAGACTGTACCATTTTGGTCTTTATCTCTACGAGTTAATATTTAACTCAATCCCATTAGTGTTATTGATTCTGCAAATAACTCGGATTTAGTCGTTTGCTCACGTTTGGCTACAAAGATGTATCTAAAATGAATGGACTTTTGCAACGTAAATTCTTGTTTTTCAAGACAACTTTGACGCACAAATATATTTCGCTTTTAGTTCTATTTTTGCTTATTTTGCGCAAATTTAAACTTAATTTCATGCCGTTTCAGCCTTTCCTTCTCACTGACCAAGGTGCTCAGATAGTATTTTCAATATCACGCTCGGACAGCCCTTCCTTTTCCACTGGTCTGGGAACATCCATTACAAGTCCGATTCCTACTATCCACCGAGATTCTATCGACAAAATAGAGGACAGACGTGAGCATGATTTGCTGTTGTGGCCGAATTGTTATCAAGAACCTATTAACACTCATTCTTCTCTCCTAAAACCATCTGACTTTCCTAATCCTCCTCATTCATCATCTAACATTTCACTTCGCATACCTAGCTTAACTGATACATCTACTGCCTTACATTCTGGATCGGTTATTTTAAATGAAGCTGGTGACTCAAAACAGCCTTCTCCATGCTTAATTGAACCTCTTAGGAACTTTTATTCATCTTATCCTGTTTGCACGACAAGTAACTTACCCTCCATACAGACACCCCAATCAGTCACCTCAGCTGCAAGCGCACCTGTCATGGTTCAGCTAAGGCACAATAATCATGCCACATCGTCCCACTCCCTTCCTCTACACACTTCCTTTCAGACCTCATTAGCCCCCGACTCTGTCCCCTTTGCTGTCGCTGACGTCTCGGAGATTGCATTTTTTTCAGATACCTCAAAAGCATTTAGAACACTGGAGACGGTAGAACTCGCAACCACGCATGGTACGACTCATTGTCATTCGCTTCAGAAACCATCTGATTCATGTTTGCGAGCTACTAATTACTTTTCGCAGATCAACCTTTTATCTCGAAAGGACGCGAAGCTGGGCAAAGTTGAAGAAAAATCGCCACTTGATACGATCCAACCCGGGTCTATTATTTCTTTACCAATGAAATTCAGACCGGTAGAGAGTATTTTATCTAGCCAATCAGAGGAAATTATACATCTGGATTTACCTCTCTCTCCTAAACGCCATCAACCTTCTTCATATTCCGATGTTATCTCTTCATATGAAACTACAAATTTGCTGCCTCCAGAACTTTTTTATGCTTGTTCTCTGATCTCTTCCTCTACCACTTCGACGGACTACTTCCATAATTTGGATACTGCGCGTGAAATTGCGAGAATTGATACATGTAATAGTATTTTTGATTCTGCCGTCTCTGCTCCGCCTTCTTCACTCTTGAAGTCATTCTCAGGGTAAATAATTATTTTTTTTACTTTGCGTTCAGGATATTATATTTTATAGCCTCATGAACAATTAAGTATAAGCCTACTTCTGTGCAGGTAGTGACTACAATATTCCATTTCCATTCAGTGTATCTTATGATGTGTGTGGCAGAGTGTAAATAGCGATCATAAAGCCAAATTAGCGGTTGAAATTTCCCAGATTCTAAAGTGTCATTGCCTCATTATTATAATGAATAGGAATCTACTTACTAGGAGTAAATGTGTTAATGCAATCTGTTTTCTGACTAATGTCGTTTACCGTTCCTCAGTCTATTTTATGTCTTCTCGAATGCATTCAATGGCAAAGCTCCATTCTTTTAATTATCCATCTAATTGTACCGAATAATATTCGTATTTTGGGCTCATTCTTGCCTTATAATCATTATCAAATAGTTGAATATATATGGATGAAGTTCTGGACTTACAACAAATGTGTCATGATTGCTCCTTAATGCGTCCCCATGATTACTTGTTCTAGATTTTTTGCTTTCATTTTATTGGGATGTTGCTCTTAATAAAAATCGTTAAAAATCTAATTTATATAGAACGTAAATGGGAGAATGATTCAACATAATAGCTGATGGGCCAAAATCTCAACGTCTTCGTGCACATTTTCTTAATAGTTCTTTCAATCTTTGGATCTAGTTTTCAAGATGATACCAACAGGTCTGCCAAATCCTTATTTCTTCTATTATAAAACGTGTTGGTAAAATTATAATAGCTTAAGAACATTAAATACACCATGACTCAAGTTGACTTATTCCATAAGCATTCGACTATTTGGGACTGGTTGCAATTGTTTTTCCACTTTATTAGAATTGTTCCGATCAAATTAGAGTTGACGTTCATGACAAAACTAAAAATCTATATAAAAACATACTCTTGGCCCTGACCTTCTATTGCAGAACATGTCACGGGGCGGTTTGCCCAAACCAGTGGGCTAGTCAGCGTGCTGAAGAATGTGAGGCCTATTTTGCAAAAATTCAGTAAAATCCCATATATTTTTCTTCGTGCAGCCAGCCTGATTAAGGAATAGGTGCACGCCCCTTGATAACTTACGAGGTCCTTGATTAACTAGATACTTCATCAGATATCTGATCCGTGTTTTTGACTAAAATTTTAATTTGATCAAGTTATTAAAGTCTTCTTTTCAATCCATCGCCTCTACCTTCCCATTCGACAGAATTTCCTCTTGTTCGCTCGCGGACTTCACTTCATCTCCTTCGCTTCATCTAATTCATTCGAATATCGACAAGGCAGAACAGCATCCTGGCGCCATTAGGTCTACGACTCCCTTAATTCCAAATTTATGTTCAGAACCTCAAGTGTTTGCTGAGAACATGTATGGCTTCAGCGATTCGGTTCATCCGAACTACAATATTCCAGAGGGTAACCTCATTGACATTCCAAAAGGCAAAATAAGTAGGGAAATAAATGGGACATTAATTGGAATTCCCGCGAATAACTTATCTCCTGAAATTCATGAACAAACGAGCCAGCCGATTCCTTTAGCTCAGCAAATGATGAAGACCCACCCTATAGCTAATATTGATAATCCCCCCGCCAATGCTTCATTCCAGCTGGGCGCATCCGCTAGGCCTGCTTCGGGTGGATCTTTCTCAGAGTCCTGTCTATCTAAGCCAGATTCCTTCGCAACTGCCCTAAATTCTCGGCAGATTGAAGCCAACTCACCCAATATCCAGTCATTTGAGGATCATTTGGAGACCTCTTTGTTGGACTCGGCCGACGAAGAGATTTGTGAACTCGAACAACTTCGTCGGGAAGTATTTAGAGCAAGTATCTCTTTTAACTGAGGTTCTCCCTCTAGTTTGAGCTTGCCTATCTAAATAAGCATATAGCCGTTTGCTCTGATTGAGCGACAATTAAGTGAGCAATTCACTTTGTTTGGCAATTCATTGGATCATCAAGCATTTCGTTTGGCTAGTATAACTACTCTGCCTTCTTAAGGGACTGTATTTCTCGGCTAACTTTACGCCTGTTATGGAGGACGTAATCCCCTACTCTATCTGTGATCTGTAAATCTTTTGAACTTTGTACTCATTATCTTTGCATTCCTTAGGCACGCCGTGACTTACTACGATGACAGCGAAAGTTTACGTCTCATAGATCAAATCATATAGCGAGGCAATTTTTTTGTTCTGATATCAATATAGTTATTAGGTGTTTTGTTTTATAAAGCCATTCCTAACTAGTTAATGATTACGTGGCAGATTCGAACTTTAAAAGTACTAACCTTCATAATGTTTAAAAACGTAATCTATTTGTTCAGACTTAATTTTTTTTGCCATTAATTTTAATTCTGTATGTCAATCATTTATCTTAATTATATCCAGAAATGTTTTTTCTGCTTAATTCAAGTACCACAGCAGCCGAGGATATGGGATCATATGTTGGTTTATCACTTTAAAAAATTGTCAAACTATCATTAAATCAAACCTATGATATGTATTCGTTAAGGGTGTAGGGGACTGGTAGTTCAATTTCCCCAAAATGATATGAATAGACCTTGCTTCTCAATAGAAACAAGGCTATGTGGGGAAATAGGGAATACATTTCATATATATAATCAATTGGTAGTCTCTAAAACCTTTAAATAAACAAGATATACTAATGGATCACTTGTGTTGCTTTACTTGGCATCAAACTAACGCACTCTGCATAGTAAGCGGAGTAGTTTGGTTTGATTGCTCTCCTCGTGTATATATTGTTGAATAAATTTCCACAATATTGACCCAAACTAAAAATATTTGTATTTTCTCAAACAATCGGCTTTTGGTGAATAAACTTGATCTAAAAAGGCAATGCTAAACACAACAGATTGCTTGATTTTTCTCATATTTATGAATGAAATTGATGTAATTTGCTAATTCAAATAAAATACTGCTTCTTGTCCGAGATATGCTACTCAGTATAATGTTATTTTTTATTCCTTTATTTTTCCAGGTGATGCAGCTTAGCTTATCCTCTAGTGAATCCGAGCCCAGTCAACCAAGTGGCTCTTACGGTACGTCTAACTCCTTGACCATATGTGACCGATAGCACGCCCACACGAGTCGTATATCTTTTGACGCTCCAGCCAAATATAGTTTGAATAGTGATTCTCAAACTTTTACTCGCTATTCGAAGACGATATGACTTTCATGAACTGTTGCCAAGGCCAACGCGATGAGCGATCTTTGCGTCACATTTATTCATTTATAGGAATTTTCTTATCTATTTTCCCTGTATAGCCTTAGCTAAGGGCCTAAACAGTCTTTTGCTATTGTGAATGCCCATTTTATATACCATATATAATTGAAAGAAGACGTGGTTTCTTCTGCATCCGCTACTGGATTCCGAATATGCGTTACCTTGCAATTGCACATTGCTTGGTTATTTATACTATCCCTCCACCAATTAACTCTCTCACGCAGCTCGACTATCCTCAATTGGGTTTTTTCGCCTCGAAATGAACCTGCTAATCCATCATTTTTCAACCGCGTTCATTTTACTGCTTTTCATATGTTTGTTTGTTAAGCTTCAATTTTACTATTACTGCTGATGTCAATCTCGGTTTTATGGCAAGCTATGCAAATCATTATCCTAGCAACAAATTTACAAACCCGCTATTACCGCTGCGGTTAATAGTTTAATCTTGAACATAACTTAATTTATAGAATGCCTCTATGAGCTGGCAGACCTTTGATGACAAAGTCAGCTAAGGTTGTTGATTTGGATAATTCATAAGAACCCGCTGGTGATGGATTTGCTTGCGGCCATATTATTTTTTTCAGTTTCTGCATTAAAAATCGCAGTCATTTTTTCATTTGTGCAATTCAGGTGGCAACGAAAGAATGAAGCTAATTTATGGTAATGTTTGTAGAGTGTACTTAATAATTAGATGATGCACATCTGAATCGGAAAATGATCTAGACAAAGTGACGACACTAAAGAGACCACATCGCCTCCTTGAATCCCGCTAAATTACATCTGACGAGTGCTTATTGCAAGCACGACTTACAGATCAATTTGGGGGACATGACTGAAAGGACTGTCAGGATGGCTATTGGAGAATTGAGATGATGTCCGAAGGCAATATTAACATTTGTACAATATTTCAATTCAGAGTGACTGGTTGGTATATTAATTAGATTCAGG